GAAGGGTAACCCGGCACACACCAAAGGCTGAAACTGCGTGGGACAGAGAGTGCTGTCCCGCCCGGAGGATAGCCCGGGCATACTGGCTCCTGTGCCACACACCGTCGTTCTACGTCCCAGCAGACAGGTCGGGATGAGCTTTCAGCCAGCCTTGTTATCTCAGCTGTCGGAAGACCCTGGGCTGACACACAAGGAAGGGAAAATGAAGGGAGGGCGATCTTTTAAACAAGTGCAATATCTTTGGAAGCACTTATTCTCATGTATAAGTTATGGTATACCTAATAAAAATTTCCACCACTTTAACTTACCAATCTTTACTGAGATAAAAAGAAAAACCATAAACATATTCAAAATAAGCCTTGTGCCTTTCCCTAGTAGTTAAATAAATAATTGTACTCAAATTGAAGAACTCGTGAGAGTCCCACGGCAATGCTGAAGTTTAACAATTAAGCAATACTATCCCTTGCTTTTCATCATTGAATTTTATAGAATATTTATTTGTTGGGAAGAGTTGAATTAGCCTGATGACATGAGTAATCTCAGATCTATCAAGGATAGTGCTATTTATAATTCATGAATATTCTTTAAAATAAGGTGCTTTTACAATTAATACTAAATCTAACCTTGCTTTGTCTATAATTTCTAAAAATTTGATATCTGAATGTGGTAACAGGTTGGCTGTTGCCACCAGCCTGGGTGCGCTCGGTGTTATACTGCCCTCTTGTGGTGAGTATGGAAAACTGCAGTCTGCAGGTTTTTTCCTCTTCCGGTTTCTTGTTACATTATTTTATCGTGCTTTACGTATCCCTGTAAGCTGCCTTAAATTCTTTCTGGAACAAGGCAAAGTCTAAATAAATAGATAAGCAAGCTTATAAAATGGAAGTGTTGCCTAGTGGGTAAAAGCATGGGTTGGGAAATCCATCTCCCTGGCATGGGTATTACCCTAAGCAGGTAAATCCCAGCTCTTAGAGCCTGGGCACCACCACGGGACTGTTGCCAGCTATTTCGGAGGCTCAGATGGGAGGATCTCTTGAGCGCCAGTGTTCGAGATCAGCCTGGTGAAGAAAAAAACAAAAATCCCAGTTCTGCCACTGAACCAGCTGTGAGAACCTGGGCTAGCTGCTGGGGTGGAGGTGGGCTCTCTGTGCCCGGTTCCTCCCCTAGAACATGAGGATAACAGCCTCCATAGTGTCGATGTAATGGAAAGCACTAAGGGCAGAGCTGGTCCATGGTAAGTGCGATTCAAAATGACAGCTATTGCTACTGCCTAAAAGGTACATTACAGCCCATTTCCAAGTACAGTGTGACAGGAGTGGACGGGGACCCACTGCGTCCAGCCCAAGGAGCAACTCCTTGGTAAGAATATTTGACACAATGCGGAAACTGCAATCGCAACCGAGCCGCCCCATGATTATGTCTTTTTTCACCGGAGCAACTAAGTCATGAATGTTACCGTCGTACATGGGACCCCGCAGCACATCCCGTTTGGCCTCCTCGTTTTACAGTTATCACCCCGAGACGTGATCACTCAGTTCTCCTGATTCCCTTCCACGATGTGACGACTGCTAAATGCTCTGAGTCCTTGTGAACACGAGGAATTTCCACGAAGAGGAAAGGACAAAGCTGCGACCAACCTGCCAGAGGTTACCCACCTCTGGTCTTCCCGGAGCCACCTCAGAAGTTGCTGAGGAATGCTCCACACGCAAGCCCGTAGGCACAGACAGGAATAGAGCTTTAAGGACGGGGAGGCTTTCCTACCCTACCGCACCCCCAATTTTAGAAAGGCAAACGCTCTCAAGAAGGTAAGTATAAGAACGAGCCCGGTTGAAGGATGACAGGGCAGTGGGTGCTGAGAACGCTGGACAATTTGTACTGCTCGAGCTAACTGCAGTGTAAGGCAGGCTTATAACCTAAGGCAGGCTATTGTGTCTCATTCAGTGGCTCTGCAACATTTTTAGAATCCATGTCCTCCATGATGGCCTGTGATGCACCACCATGAGCTGTCTTCAGACCTGACAACCCTCTCTGGAAATTGCCCTTGGCTCTAGAAGACACTTTGTTCAAGGTCATGCCCATCCCCCAATGTTTAGTCAATGCAAATGTGTAAAGACCCGGCACCCCAGAGCAAAAGGGCTCCAGAGCCCCCAAGGGATGTGCGGAGGCCCTTGTTGAGATGGCCTCACAGCCCAGCTGCCCCCTCGCCCTCCTGCCTCCTTCCCTGGCAAGGGAATTACCCTAAGGACACACCAGGGGCTTCCTGCACATTCATCTCTGCTTCCCAGAGAAACCAACCTTTATATTTTCTGATGTAAAAATTCCACACTTCACTCTTCTTGACCTCCCTGGGGGCTTTTTTGGGAGGTGGGGGTCAATTTAAAATAAACCCATTGCATATTTAACCTTTCCATTCCAAAGAGAGTGTGTACTTCACATCCAGCAAAACTATTTAAAATGTTCTTTCCCCATTTGCTGCCATCTAAGTTATCCTCCATGTAAATGGCTGTTTCTCCCCAAGCCTAATTCCAGTGGCCTGAATGCTCATGTCCCTCCAAAATTCATGATGAAATCCTAACTCCCAAGGTGACAGTATTAGGAGGTGATTAGATGAAAGCGGAAGAGCCCTCATGATTGGAATTAGTGCCCTGATAACAGAGACCCCCAGAGGGCTAGCTCACCCCTTCCACAGTGTGAGAACACAAGGCATTGTCGATGAACCAGAAAGCAGGCACTCACCAGACGCTGAATCTGCCAGAGCCTCGGTCTTGGACTTCCCAGCCTCTAGAACTATGAAAAATAAATTTCTGTTGTTTCTAAGCCACTCAGTTTAGGGTATTTTGTTATGGCAGCCTGAATGGACTAAGACAGAAATATTTAGATTTAATAAAACATATATCTATTCTCATTGTAAAAGACCTTTTGATACCACCTCCCCAACATTCCCATGCCATGATTTCAATTTGGGGTTCCCTCTAGATTCTGATACCCTTTTAGGATGTTGTGTCTCCCCTCCCTGCCTTGAAAACCACTGCTATTATCTGTGTATCTTAACCATCAAGATTTTGAACAGCATTAACTTTCTGCAGTCTATAATATAAAACCCATTTTTTTCATTTTCCAAATGTAAGATAGTATTAGAGTGCTTTGTCAAACACCTTAGTTCATAGGGATTAACTAACAGGTAATTGGGAAAGAGGATGCAACCTAGTTTAAGGCATCTGAGGAAGAGAAAGAAGGGACTCTTCTTCTAGGCCAAGTAAGAGAATTAATGTTTTAGAGTCAGGAAAAGAAGCTAGCATTTATATAACTTGCAAAAGAAAGTTTCAGCATTCACAGTGTATTTAAATAAGTTTTAAAAGTAATCAAATATGAATCTTATGAATAATGTAGGTTTTAGATAATTTATACATAGATTCATGATGAAGGCCTAAAGTGAATCCCAAATCCTCAGGAACTCTATAGTAAACACAAGTTACCCCAAATTAGGCCACTCACGAGGCTTCCTGAAAGGGGATTTTAGGGCATGTGACCATGTGTCTGTCCCCAGGACACCAGGAGTCAGATTTGTAAAAGAGCGGAGCCCAAGGTCAACTCAATCCCAATGCATCATTGGTATTGAAATATGCTTTGAGAAGGCAGGAAATTCATTCTAAAGTAGAGCAGAAAAGTCCTCAAAAAATTCCACTTGAGGATTATCAAGAAATACAAATACTTTATTTGGCAGAGGATGGTAGCTTCCAAAGGGAGAAACAAATGGTTTTGGCTGCAAGTAACAGAAAGCCCACAGCTATATTTTTCTCATATATCTTTCTCTTATAGCAAGAAGTCTGGAGATAGTGTTGTTCCACCAACACCAGCAGTGTCAGGGTTCACATCTCTGGGATTCAAAGCCGGTTCCTCATGGTCATAAGATGACTGCTGTATGGCTACTCTTAACTGGAAAGTGGCCAGGGAGAAGGGGTTTGGAAATGGAGGTGGGCCAGGCAACCAACCCTCTGCCACAGCACAAGAAAACTGAGCAAGTTGGGCTTGAAAGCAGCGAGCCTGGCAAAATGAGCACCGAGAGCTCGCTGGCTATTGCACAGGCAGAAGGGTCTAGGGAAACGTGGAAATTTCCATATCACATTAGTATGTGGGTGAAGAGGGACAAAATACCTATTGCGGATGTATGTGTTTCATTTGTATTACCCAAGAAACTCTACCTACAGAACTCCCTCTCACAAAAAAAAGGTCAGATTTCACAAAGTAGTAAGAAAACATTTGCATTGCTACAAGACACAACCAAGTTCAAAAGGTACATTTTTTTATCCTCTATTTACAAAGGAACAGAGTATAAATGTAATAAGGAACAAAGGTACAAAAAATGTCAGGCATACATATTCACATATCAAGTATAGGTAAAACTTGTCGAGAAGACTTTAAATACTTCTTTTAGCATTTAACAGTGAAAATAAGTTTCTAAGAATAATTTATCATCTCAGAAGTTTTAAAAGGCTCAACCTATATAATTTAAACTATGACTATCTTAATGAAAAAGTATAATTTTATCCTCTTTGAAAATCTCCAAGTTGCTGGAGGACAAGTAAACCAGATCACTACCAATTTTTAAAAGATTCAAAGGTTCTTAAATTAAGAAATCATAATTGCTTAGGAAACTTATTTGAAGTATGTGTATTCAGCATGTGTGCTGAATAATATATTCATATTATTAACATACATGAAAAAAATCCATACACCTAACTAGCATCAGTAACCAGTTAATTGCTGGCTCTTCCAAAACCAGAAACAGGTATCCTTAAGGGTCAAGACTCTTCAGACCTCTAAACTAACATATCCCAGTACACAGACTTCATTTAACTTCATTCAGCAGAAGAGAAGAGCCTTTGAAATGTATGAGGTGAAAGACAGGCTGGCGTATTTCTGCAAGCTTTCCTTCCAAGTGTAGACACAGCTCTTACTGCTGACATCTTGGTCAATAGCTTTTGTGTTTTCCAGTTCTTTCTTTAGTTCAGTCCTTCTGACTGCGAAATGTGATATCCAAACTGAAATAAAGCAAATGTTTAACACAGAAATTATTCTAACATGAAAAAAAAGGATGACAAGTACCAGGTGATCCTCTGAGGTTTGATTCATTCAACAGCAAACAGTTATTTGAGAGTCAGCTCTGCAGAGCCGAGGACACAAAAGTGAGAGAGACACTCGGCGGCACAGACTGAGCTCCCAGTCAACTGCAGTTTGAGTCCCTACATGTCCAGCCTGAAATTAGGTGCTACAAAATATATAAAAAGAGACAATTCTTTCTCTAAAATGCTCCTAGTTGGTTGGAAAGAAAGCGCAAAGAGACACTGAACAAACAGCAAGCAGTGTATGACAACCCAGTGACACCACACGTACCCACTAACACTGGAAAATAGCATGATCCATCTAAGTGAACTTCCTACATAACTGCAGGTTTTCAAACATCCTAGAATTTGTCTCTGCTCTGCCCCTTAGATGTGGGATTATGGGCTCTATGAGGTTCATTTTCCTCACATGTAAAACAAGTAATATTCACCTTTTTTTTTAGGATATTGCTATAAAGATCAAATGAGATGAGTGAAAAAAGTACTTTACAAGTTATAAGTTGCTATACAAATGTAAGAATTAAACATTTATTTTAGCAACATTTGCATTTCTTAATTGTAATAGTTTTAAAGGAAACTACATACTTTTCCCCTTTCTAAATAGTTAAAAGAATGTAATTCTGAGCCCATATGCTAAACAACAGATAAAGTGCACACACAAACACACACACACACACACAGGCAACCTCAGAGACCGCACGCGCCAGAGTGAGGTTAGGACAACTCTCCTTGCTGTTACACTCCTCGAGGGCCACATGCATTTGAGTTTTCCATTCTCTGCCTTGGTTGATGTGGGTCACTCCTCAATGCCATCTACCTGACTTTAGATGCTGTCCCTCTTCCACATTCCTCTCAGTCCCAAGGCTTATTCTTATGTACTAGCTCAACTAAATTATGAGATGTGAAAACCACCCCCAAAATTAGAATTATTTCTAAATATAAGAAAAGAGACTTCAAGTAAGGAACAATCTGAAGGATCAAGTGCTTGAAATACAGTGTATGTCTTTTTAAGCATCCAGTAAGTGTTATCCTTAAAGGTAACTATGATCCTATTTGCTTTTTTAAAAGCAGAGTTAACATTCTATTCAACTCAATAATCCAAAGTCTTTATATATGAGTGAGAAAAATATTAGAGTATTCACATTCCCTATAGTTAGGGTGAATCTACTGCACCATTCTTCCCTGGTCCTCTCAAAGTTTTGAACACCCAGTTCATTCTGCAGACAACATCATATTGGCACCTTTCTAGGATAAATCATTATAAACTTATACAAAATTATTTTTCAAATCAAGTGTTCTATTTCAGAAGATCTCATAATAGGCTAAAAGTGAAAATGAGTATGTAAAATTAACAAAAACAACAGAAACATGAGCAGCATCAACAAACAATTGTATAATCCATTCTGCTTAATTACTTAAAGAGAACTTGAACGCAAAGCTATTGGTATGAACAGTACGCTGAGAACTAAAAAATGAATTTTACATTATTATAGCTTACCCTTGAAGTTTCTGGACTAGAAAATGGGGAAGACTCCCAAGATCTATTTTCTTTCTCAAAAGAATCATCTTCTTGGAAGGCAAATTTCTGCTTAAGTGCGTGAGATATTAAAGACACTGGATCCCAATGTGAACTTCGTCTTTTCCTTTTACGAATGGGTCTACCACCAGGTGACCTATTTTTTCAAAAAAATTAAATAAATTAAAACTTTGATGTAGTTTTAGCTCCTTGTTGACAAACACAGCAGAAACACAAGCATAATATATTACAATCTAATTATTTTTCATGAGATTGAAGATTGACTAATCTTCAAGAAATTTTCACCATGGAATAAGGAATCTGGAAGGCACAATGAATTAAGAATTAGAAAACCAAGAAACCATGTGGGCTGGGGCTCTACCACAACCTGGGATTTGTCAAATATCACTGTGCTGAAGATCTTTATTAATTTTCTAATTTTCCAGTGGGTAGGAAAATTTGAAGAAATATTTAAGAACCTTTAAAAGGATTAGAGTTCATGAAAAGAAAACCATTAGACTACTTGTTCATGTGTTTGGTCATTCATTCATTCCCTCTTCACTGAATGCCTACTATTCTATCAGGCTCCACTTCATGCTCTGGGGTATAGCAGTATCCTGCTCCCAACTGGTGGCAGGAGACCAATATACACGTAAGCAAGATCATTTGGACAGTGGTAAGTGCTGTGAATAAAATAAAATAGGGAAATGTGACAGTGACCAGGGACAGAAGCACATTAAATGAGATACAATCAGGAAAAGCCTCTTTAAGGAGGTGACATCCTCTTTAAGAAACTGACAAGGAGTCAATTTTAGTGTAAACACCTGGTGAATGCATCAGGAAGTTAGCTTGGCATGTGTGAGAAAAGGAGAAAGAAAACCAGGTATAGCTGGAGTGCAGTGGGCAACATGGGAAGTAGGAGATGAAAGAAATAATAAAGATCAGAGCAGAAATAAATGAAATTGAAATCAAAAAAATACAAAAGATCAACAAAACAAAAAGTTGGTTTTTCGAAGAGATAAAAAAAATTGACACACCTATTTAGCCAAAGTAAGAAAAAAAGAGAGAATATGCAAATCAAAATCAGAGATGAAAAAGGAGACATTACAACTGACACTGCAGAAATCCAAAGGATCATTAGAGACTACCATGAGCAACTATATGCCAACAAATTGGAAAACTGAGAAGAAATGGATAAATTCCTAGACACATATAACCTACCAAGAATGAACCAGGAAGAAATCTGAATAAACCCGAATAAACCAATAACAATTAACAAGATAGAAGCAGTAATAAAATGTCTCCCATCAAAAAAAAAAAACCCCAGGACTTGATGGTTTACACTGCTGAATTCTACCAAGCATTCAGAGAAGAACTAAGAGCAATCCTACTTAAACCATTCCAAAAAACTGAAGAGGAGTGACAGTCCCAAATTCATTCTATGAGGCCTGTATCACCCTGATACCAAAACCAGACAAAGACACAACAAAAAAAGAAAACTACAGGCCAATAACTGATGAACACAGATGTAAAAATCCTCAACAAAATACTAGCAAACCAAATTCAACAACACGTTAAAAAGATTATTCATCATGATCAAGTGAGATTCATCCCAGGGATGCAAGGATGGTTCAACATATACAAATCAATCAATGTAATGCATCACATCAACAGAACAAAGGACAAAAAACCATATTGATCATTTCAATTGATGCCAAAAAAGCATTCGATAAAATTCAACATTCTTAATAATAAAAAACTCTCAAAAAACTGAGTAAAGGAAGAACTTACCTCAACATGATAAAAGTCATATATGACAGACCCACAGCAAGTATCATACTGAATGGGGAAAAACTGAACCTTTCCTCTAAGATATGGAACAAGACAAGGATGCCCACTTTCACCACCGTTACTCAACATAGTACTACAAGTTCTAGCTACAGCAATCAGACATGAGAAAGAAAGAAAGGGCATCCAAATTAGAAAGGAAGAAGTCAAATGATCCTTGTTTGTAGACTATATGATCTTATATCTATAGAAACCTAAAACTCCATAAAAAAACTATTAGAATTGATAAATTCAGTGAAGTTGCAGCATACAAAATCAATATACAAAAATCAGCAGCATTTCTATATGCCAACAGTAAACAATCTGAAAAGGAAACCAAGAAAGTAATTCCATTTACAATAGTTACAAATAAAAAAAAATACCTAGGAATAAACTTAACCAAAGAAGTGAAAGATCTCTACAATGAAAACAGTAAAATATTGATGAAAGAAATTGAAGAGGACATAAAAAAGTGGAAAGATATTCCATGCTTGGAAGAATCAATATTGTTAAAATTTCCATATTACCCAAAGCAATATTATAAGGATTCAATGCAATCCCTATCAAAATACCAATGACATTCTTCACAGAAATAGAAAAAATAATCCTAAAGAAGTGTATGTGTGTGTTGGGTAGAATATCTAATAGAATATGTTCCTGATCTTCTACAATGGGAAATAAATATAATTAAAATATCAAGAAATAGCATAAGTATGTTGTTTCAAAAATATGGAGATAAGACAGTAGTCCAAGAAAAGAAATAGTCCAATAAAACTGAAAGTGACTATCTCTGGGAGGGGTACTCAGGGTGAAGAAAAATAAGAAAAAAGATTTACATATGTTAACTGTCATAAATATAATTTTTCTAAAAACATCATTGATAAAACCTCAGTTCATTTCTCAAATTACAACAACATACCGTTCAATAGCACGAAGCTTAACCTTATTCATATCCTTCAGAACATCCAGCATGTTTGGAACATCTTTATTTCTCTGGCTTTTTGAATGACTATAGTTGGTCTTACTAGCACCTGGGTGCTGTTTGTTAATTTCAGTCACTGAATTATCTGAGTCACAAATATTATTAGATCCTGGTTGTGTGGGAGGAAAACATGGAGGTCGGAGAGAAGAAAGCTGAGGAGGAAGTGGTGGTGGAGGAGGAGGGGAGGAAAGCGCTGGACTTGGAAACTCATCTGGTTCCACACACAGCTGAGCAGCCCTTGATGATGGCATTTGTCCCAAACTTATGGTCCCATCATTCAAGTCCAAGGAGCCTAAAAGCAAAGTAGTTAAAACATCATGAGAAATTCTCATGTCATAATATAACACTAATTAGAACCAAAATAGGAGCATTTCTGTAATGCTATTAAAATAGCAGGAAGGAGAATCAATCCCATCTACTCAGTAACGTATATAAGAATCAAGCCAAACTGTAAATTCATTTTTTAATGCTGTTGGGAATTTTCAGCATAGGCCCAAAAGGTAGGAAGGAGGAGAATGCATTTTAAACAGAAAATAAAAAGTGTTGGTCAGTAATTCACATATAATCTGAATTTCATCCTGCATTAAAAAAAAAAGCTAAAACACAAATCAACAACTTGTAGTTAGAAACACTCAAACTGAGACATCCACTCTATAATGACACTGGATAAATTAAGCATATTATTTTCTAGGCGAGAGCCTAAGATGGGTACTGAGTATTAATTTTTTCATAATAGATTTGCTCCTAAAGGACTATCAATACAAATGATTGTTTTTTTAAAAAAGTATATTTATATATCATTTTATTTATTATGTATAAATATAAATCACTGTATATTAATTTATATATAAATTACATTATATACATTGTATAATTACATATTACATAAATTATATGTGTATATATATGCACTTGTATATATACATTTATATAATTTGTCTTCACAATCATATTTACACACAGCCCTTACAACCAAATCCATTGTGAAAAGCACTCAGTGCCTATGTTGCTTTATATTTTATACACTCACATACACACATACATGTGTGTGTGTGTTTTTAAAGCAAGTTACATCTCCAAAAATTTAGAAAAGGATCATGTGGAAAACACTATTCAACTCAGTGGAAGTGTAGCAGCAATAACTAAAAACTATAAATATATGAGGCCTCAAACCTACATTCCTTTTTTTTTTTTTTGAGGCGGGGCCTTGGTCTGTCACTTGGGCTAAAGTGTAGTGGGGTCATCATAGCTCACTGCAACCTCCAGCTCCTGGGCTCCAGCTATCCTCCTGCCTCAGCCTCCTAAGTACCTGAGACTACAGGTGTGTGCCACCCCATCTGGCTAATTTTTCTAATTTTTGCAGAGACGAGGTCTCACTCTTGCTCAGGCTGGTCTCGAACTCCTGTCCTCAAGTGATCCCTGCCTCCCGCCCCACCTGGGCCTCCCAAAGGGTTAGGATTACGGGCATGAGCCACTACACCTGACCCCTATACTCCTCTTTCAAACCAATGCATTCTTCCTCTTTAATCTCTAGTGCTTTTCTGAAGAGCTGGAAAGTTTACTGAGAAGACACTTTTTAATACAAAAATATGATCTTCAGTAATATAGCTAGCTCTTCTTTAAACCAAAGCCATCTCCCTCATTACAAAAAATGTGTCTTGATTTATTCCAAATAAGCATCAGGTGTAATAGTTTTATATATCCAACATCCTTTTATGATGCATTTAATGTTGTTCACAGTTACTATTCAGAATTGGACTCGCTTAAATACTGGCTGTTACTATATGTTACTATATGTAACATGGTGTATACAGCAATAAGCTATATCATGAGTATCAAACTCAAACAAAAAGCCAGTGTTACTTACCAGAATTTGCCCTATTTTTCAGTTCCTGCATTTCCACAATTGCAGCAATCTGAGAGCGAAGAAAAGTTAGCTCATTTTCAAGGGCAGCTATTTTTTTAATTGCAGCTTCATTTACAGGCAGATCATTGTTCACTGGTTTGTTATGTCTTAGAGCAGGTGACAATGGATCCCAAACTGGTGGCAAAGGATGGAAAAATTCAATTTTCTCCTCTTCCCCATTTTCCCATATACTATTTCTGTGGGTGGAAGGAAGGAAGAAATAAAGGGAGGGATGTTTTCAATCCAAAGAAGAATAAACTCTTTTAAGGAAAAGCAAAAGACAACATAATAAAATCAGAGCAACTCTCTCCCCTAGGACTGTCTCTAGTCTCACTGAGGACAAGCACATCTTATTTAGCTTTGCATCCTCAATACGAAGGACAGACTGAAGCCTCTAATAGATGACCAATAAGTGGCCAGGGAATGAAAGAACAAACCTTGCTTTTAGGTTATAAAACAAAAACAATTATCCTGTAATTGCTCTACCTATTAACTTGAAACACAGAGAAGTTAATTTATTTAGAAATTCTATGTAGGGTACTATAGGGTTTTATATTTAAGATTATGTTAGAGGTAAGTTTATGGTCTTCTTTTTGAAAACTGATAAACCAGTTTGATACATGATAAGTTTAGCCAAAATATTTGAATAATTGACACGAATTGTGCTTATAACTTGTATCTGAATATACTAAAACATAGGTTAGTACTCCCTAGGAGTAACACATCCAAATTTTGAAATATATTTAACATCATTGCCTGGTACATGGTAAGCACTATGTAAGTTTCAGCTAAAGATATAAAATATAATAAATCTAGTATCCAGTAGAGAAATAGAATGAACATAATGATTCTGATATCACTTTAATAATCATTTCCTCATAGGACTGGTGTTAGGTTTAAATGTACATTAAGAAAAACTGGCTAAAAATTGAGAGAAACAATCAATTATCCTTATTAGGAAGATATTAGTAGGACACAGCACAGTACAGAGATAAACAAAGCAAAAAAGCTGAATCAATATGAATTTCATGGTATACAGTTGCACATTTGTCCATTAAAAAAAAATGGAAGAACTTCAACACATGCATGAATTCAGGTTATAGCCTATATACTCCACTTCCCAAGATAAATGTATAAAATTACCGAAATCTGAGATAACTGGATTCTTTATCATTTGCCACATACAAAACATCAGCAAAAGATGGAACAACAGATCCACAGTTATCAGAGTCCACAGAGTTCAAGAATGGGATCAACTAAAGTAAAAAGAAAAAAAAAAGTCAGAGCTCTGCAGGGAGTCAGGGGAAGACAAATGCCCCATGTCATTAAATAAGGTAATATAAAAGAAAAAGCATATTCAACAGAAAAAATGCACCTGTTAGCAAGAAAAATACTGGGAAAAATTAAAGTCTAAGCATGCAGCAATATTCTCTCCCCTGGTTAATCTCATCTAGCATAAAACAAAAAAGACCAGAAAAGAAGCTCCTCGGGTCTTGCTCACATCTGCCTATCTGTGAAAGTAATTACAGTCATGCACGGTATAACATTTCGGCCAGTGATGGACCACATAGACATGGCACATACGCAACACGACGTAGCTGAAAAATTCCCATTGCTTAGTGTTTACTATACTTGTTATCATTATTTTAGAGTGTACTCCTTCTACTTATTAAAAAAGAAAAGTTAACTATAAAACAGCCTTAGGCAGGTCCTTCAGGAGCCATTGTTACCAGAGGAGATGACAGTGCCATGCATGTTATTGCCCCTGAAGACCCTCCAGTAGGACAAGATGTGAAGGTGGAAGATAGTGATAATCCTGACCCTGTGTGGGCCTATGTTAATGTGTGTTTGTGTCACACACTGACTTACCCAGAGCAATTTCCAGTCCTGTAAGCTGCATTCATGATAAGTTCCCTATTCAAGTGTACCATTTTTTATCTTTTATTCCATATTTTTACTGTACCTTTTCTATGTTTAAATGTTTAGATACACAAATACTTACCATTGTGTTACAGTTGCCTACAGTATTCAGTCCAGCAATATGCTGTACAAACTTGTAGCCTAGGAGCAACAGGCTGTACCATATGGCCTAGGTGTGTAGTAGGCTATATCATCTAGGTTTGTGTAAGTACACTCTATGATATGTTAACACAAGGACAAAATCATCTAATGATGCATTTCTCTGAATGTATCCCCACCTTTAAGTGACACATGATTGTATTTAAATAGATAAAATGCACAAAAACATATGTGAAATGACTTGTTTCCAGGGGTAAACTAATGTTGCCTGGCTTGCAGGCAACATTTCTTCCTTTGTTGTTCTACCCTATATCCATAGGAGTACCTAGGATTATTTTACACAGTGCTTAAACAATGCATGCTGACTGAATTACCTCAAAATTAGGTCTTCGACAAGGTTCTAATGGAAGCATTTTCCCAATAATACGAACGATACTCCGAGTTGATCCATGGTCTTTATTTTCCCAAATCAGCAAAACCTATTTAAAGATAAAACATTATTTTAAATGTACTCTGATTAAGCACGTTTACATATCTATGAAAAAAGGGAGATGTAAGAGATGCAATAACATTTATTTTTAAAAAGAAAATATAGAATGGTATACTCAAAGCATCTTCTTCAAAGAATTAACTTTATTAATATTTGTCTTTTTTAAAAAAAAGGATAGGAGTAAACATATATACATTCTAGGAAGATCTTTTTAAAAAGCACCACAATTCATTTTTTTCTATTTCTGATAATATCCAAATACCTTAAGGAACTTTGTTCAGAAAAACTGCCCCCTCTGCCCCTAACTAAAAATCCCATCTTTTGGCCCAATCAAAAATTGACAATTTCGATTTATCAAACAATGAGGTAATAGAGAGTATTCTTACATAATTTCCTTTAAAGGAGAAATAAAAAGGGGAATAAATAAATCAGGTCTTAGACAATTCAAATAGTCATTTATATACAGAAGAATTTATCCACTGGAAGTTGGTTTTCGAAAAGGTATTAGAAGTGAAACGTGCTACTATAACTCAAATAATACTTTGTACTTTAGCTTGGGCTTCCCATATTGGTTTAAACTATTGCCACAGGAACCTCCCCCGCCCAAAAAAAAATAACAACATAATAAATTGGACTTTTCATCATTTTCCTATGATCCCATAATAAGGACAAAGTTTAAGATGAGCAACAGATATAAGTAGCAGCCTCATAAAAATATCCAATAAGCAGTATATCTAGTAAGCAGATAGTTAACACAGTTCTGGAACTCAGGACTAAAACTGAGATTAGAAAAATGGATTGGGGAATCACTGACATACCGAACACATGATATAGGTAAAAATCAAAGGCATAGACCTAGGCAAGACTAGAAAAAAAGATTTGGAAGTCACCGGCACATAGCATCCTTCTGAAGAAAGTCATGCCATTCCTCTGCTTTTAAATGGCAACAGCTCTAAATTTATCTGATCAAATCCAAAGACTTGAGTCTAACACTGAATATTGACTCCATCACTAGCCTCACAGTCTTTCATCAATTCTGTCAGCCCAGTCTCCACAACATACTTTACGTGTTCCATATTCAGAACATGTAGATTTCTGATCTAATCAGTTTCCACCTGTCTTTAAATAGCCGATTCACATTCCACTACAAATTTGATTATTTCTGCTCTCATCAGCTTCCTAAATTCTATTCAGTTCTAAACTAGTTCCAATGAGTACCATGCAATAGGATGCAATTAATACAGTGAAAAAATGTGTTTAGGGTAACTAAGCAGCACGGTAGCATCACCAGAATATCTGTAGTATCATTTCAATAGGTAATCAATATTTTTTAAATCCTAAGATTATTTTACATTTTTTTCATACTAAGTCTTCAAAATCCACCTATAGCAGATCTCAATTCAGACATTTCAAGTACTTCAAAGTAACATGTGGCCAGTGGCTACCCTATCAGTTAGCACAGCCTAGAGGATACAGATCCCAGACCTGTTTAAAGTAGAATCTTTGGAGGCTTGAGCACTTACATTTAAAGTGTTCTATGGACCATTCATATGTGCACCACTGCTAAGAACGACAGGCCTAGAGGCTTCACTACAATGAGAGCTACGTATTGTACATATAGAATCATCCTAGAGTTGGGTTAACTCTCGGTTAACTTGAATGATACCTTCCTATCTTGCTCTGCAGTTTCCATCCTGACAAACTCCTGTCCTGTTCTCTCACTCCTTCCTTGCCAACAGCCATCTTCACGATTATTATGATTTCCTCTCTTTCCTCTATTCCTAGTCCAGCACCCAAATTTTGACTTTACTGATTTCCCTACCAAGCATGTATTTTCTGGTTAATTATTTCAGTGATATGTTCAGTGCCATTCAAAAATGGTTCATTCCTTTGATATTATGTGTTCCCATACTACTAATGAATAAACTTCCCTAACAACGCTTAGCTAGAAAAAAAACAACAATATTAAGAAAAACTATAAATCCATGATGACTTCAGTGGGTCCTCACAGGTATTCTGCAATCCCTTCATAACATGTTTTGCACTATACTACGTCACCCAGAGCAATCTCCAATCTGAAATCTCTAACACCACCACTTCCATTACGTGCAAGTGACCTTGTCTCTGTACCTCCTACAGCACCAAGGATGTCTTAGATGTAGATGTTCAACAAGTAGACAAAATTGGATTTGTTTATAATTCTCAGGTCTAAGTCATCCTCTCTCCTTCACATTTATTCTGGATTTGTTAATAAATTACCTTAAATAGAACAGTTTTATTTATCTAAGCAATAAGTGTAATTCTGTGAAGGTCATGTCTATATTTTGCTTCCTTTGTATCTTCTCTTGGCATTTGACCTATCAGGTAAATAGCTTCTCAATAATTCTATCCCTTTTTAGACTTAAACTATTTAATATCAAAGCTATACAATTGCAAACCCACCTAAAGAGAAGCAACAATTTCACCTTAAATTAAATGTTTACATATAAATCATTTTCAAAGGGAGACCCAAGAACAAATACAACAGATTCATTTAAATCCATTAAAAGACATTTACCTGGTCTATAGGGACACCAAAATATTCCAGCATCCTTCTTAAGATATTCAATATGAGAGACATTGATGAAGCAAATACAGAAGCAAATTCAAGGAAACATAATCAGTCTCTTGGTACCTTTGGGAAAAATTTTAGAAAATATTACTCTTGAAAAATAAACAATTGCCACATAAATTGTATACGATATCCTGGAAGAGTTTTTTCATTACACATTACACCATCAACTAATTTCTCCTGGTCAGCATTATTTTGAAGCAAGTCAGAGAAAGAGGAAAAGGAAGGGAAGGAAAGGGAAGGGAAGGGAAGGGAAAAGGTAGAAGGAGAAAGGGGCAAGGGGGAAGAGGAAACAGGGAAGAGGGAAGGGAAAGGGAAGGGAAACGAAGAGAGGAAAGAAAAGAAAAGAAGGAAAGGAAAGGAAGGAAGGGAGAGAGAGGGAGGGAGGGAGGGAGGAAAGGAAGGAAGGAGAAACAAAAAAAGAAAAAGAAAAAGAAAAGGAAAAGGAAAGAGAAGGAAAGAAGAGAAGAGAAGAGAAGAGAAGAGAAGAGAAGAGAAGAGAAGAGAAGAGAAGAGAAGAGAAGAGAAGAGAAGAGTGAGGCTGGGGTAGAGGCAGAGGATTGTAACGGAAATTTTAATTTAGATGTCAATCAACAACAGGTTGAGTGGACACTTAGAAGGGAAGGCTTCAAGTTGCTTTCGACGCAAAGCTTGTTCTTTCCTAAAAGCTTTAGGCCGAGACTCAAGAGAGGGGTGAGTTCAGCTGACCCTTGCTTGATAGCAGGCAAGGGCCCGACTCAAAGTTTTAACAAAATGAACAGTAGCTCTTCTCACAATCGTATCGGAGTACCACCCAACCCTCTTAGCTCACTTTAAAGATAAGGAGCAAGAATCCCAGGTAGGTAACGTTACAGCGTCACCCCACTGGTAAGAGGCCGCGACCAGAATCCGGTCGTGTCACTCGCTTTGGCCACAAGCTTCCTCTGGGGCTCTCCAAAACCAGCATGGTGGCCTTGCTCACCTTCCTCCGAAGCCAAGCCTCCCGGCAACCAGGACAACATCAACGAGTTATGAATCCCTGTCTCGGAATCCCCAGTCGAAGAACTCGGGAGTGCACTGGTCCTGGTTCAGGAGAGTTCAGACGTTCACCCCGTGTCCGCCCGCGCGCCCTGGCTTGCAGGCCACAGGCGGCAACCACGCCCTCACGAGGGGTATGAGGTCGACCCCGGGCTAGGCGCTGAGTCCCTTGCCCAGCCAGGGTAACTTCGCGGGAGGCGCAGCCGCCTCCTTCCGCACCCAACCAACCTACCGCTCTCCCCTACCTCAGGACGTACTTCCGCGTCCCTGGACGAAAATCAAACTCCGCGGGCCAACACCCATATCCGACTTCATTGGACAAGGCTGAAGATCGGGGCTTCTGATTGGTCGTTCCATGACGCCTGCCTATTCGCGGCAATTCGGCCAGGCCATCGAATCTACCAAGTTTCTACTTCCCATGAGGGCGGGTCTTCCGCGAGGCAGCCAACAGAAGCCAACAGGCAGCTGGTGGGCGGGGCGGGCCATGCAGGGACGGTGACGCACGCGCAGAACACGGTTTTAGGTTTCTTGGGAGCTAAGTACCGGTGTCGTTTAAGCCCGGTGTTTTGGGGCTATCGCAGGCCCGGGAGCTGGGCTCGAGATCGAGAGTTGCTGCTCCTCGCAGCTCTTCACAGGGAGTGTGTCGCCCACTACAGGTGTACCCGAAACAGGCCCGCCCTCCCAAGTTCGCCTGATGCAGAGTCGCGATTTATTTTTTGGTCATTCCACTCGTTCATTCAGCGAATATCTATTAAATGCCTGCGGGACTAACAGAAGCTAAACCCTACCCTCGAGGAAATCGATTTGCAGCTTTGAAGTAATTAGGATTTTTCTTTCACGAAACGCTCCTACTTATCCAAGCTACCAAATATGGGCCGGACAACTCCCCTGGCCTAGCAGAGGATAGCAAAGGAAAAGCTATGTCATGTCAGGTGATATTCCAAGTTTTAATTCTGATTTGAGGTTACTGGCCTCATACGAAATAGCTTCCTTTTCTCTTATTTCAGTGCATTGGAGTGACATGACGACTTAGGATAATCGTGCCTGCTGCTGACCTAATAAAAAATGGGGAAAGTTTGAACTAATTTCTCCATGGCAGACATCATTTATTCATTGAACTAATACTGCATGTCTGTTATGTGCCAGGCACCATTCTAAGCATGGAAAATGCAGTCATGAGCAGGGAAGGTCCTTCCCCTCCAGGAACTTACATTCTAGTGGAGACCTCAGCTTTTTCTGAGCACCATACATAAATAGCATCTCTCCTTTCTTACCCTTATTACTCTTTATAGCACTTACCGCCATATATATTTAATGCTCCCCCTACCACCAAACTAAATTGTAAACTCCATGAGAATAAGAACTTTGTTTTGCTCCATGCTATATCCCCAGTGCTTTAGAAGAGTGTCTGGTATTTAATAGGCTATTCAATCTATTTATTTGATGGACAAAGTAATTGGATGTGGGGTGAGAGAAAAGATATGATCAAAAACGATTTGGGACTAAGCAACTGGCAAAACAACAGTAGAAATTATAGTGATATGCCGAGTAGTCTGAGCTGGATAAGCATGAAAGTAGGGACAAGAGAAGGGTGATGCACAATGTAAAAGCAGAAGGCAAACGATCAGAAACCCTACATGGAATGAGTAAATCGTAATTTTCTCAAGTTCCTTGTTCTTTCCTTTTGTCCTCGTAAGCGAATCATGATTTTATAACCTACCCCCTTTCTGTTCTCTTATCAAACAGCACATAATAGGGCCAGAATGAAAATATCCCTGAGGACAATGGAAACCGCTACTCCTCCAGCTGCATACAACATAGCTCAACATTCCAACTCTGATTTAGGTAGCAAGGTGGGTCCAGGTCAAATGCTACATCCATGAATGATGTGCTGTCAACTTTTCCCTAAATTATTTCTTCAGAGATCCTTCCGGTATTTTGCTTACTAAAGCATTCATATTACATTTTGACAATAACTTTTTATGAAATTTGACATTAATTTTTTTTGCTCATTTTTACATGAATTTAGATTTTTCTGAACTCTTAGGATAAAGTTCAGTTTAGGGAAGCTCTTCTGACTTCACAGTTACCTTTTCGGTTTTTGAGTAGTGTTCACGAATATGGTGGCTTGCTTTGAGATTTTCCTGTGTTCCCCTCTTCCAGTTTTAATGCAGGCCCTCTCCCTTTATTCTTTAGCCTTCTCAGTGTGACTTCAGCTTCCGTATGGTCTCTTCAGTGTGGAGCCTGTCCCTGGCGGGAGTCCTGGCAAGTCAGGTTTGAGAGCTCATTGGGGTAAACTACTCCAGCGGTCCTGTGGGCACTTGTACCTCACTATAGAAGAGGACAAAATCCCAAAGTTTCAGCTGCTTCCCAGTGAATGGCCGTTGGCTAATTTTAAGATTCTCCTGTTCTCAAGTCTGTCAGACACTGCCCCAATTCATCCCTCTACTCTCATAAAAACCAATACCAGGCAGGTTGGTGATTTGTCTCCAACTGCTGGTATTTGAAAGTTCATAGAAACAGCTTAACACCTAAGTTTATTGCTAACTGCTGTCCATAGGTATTTGGTTTTGCTCTCTAGCTGCCAACGTTTTTCCAAAATCACTTACACATTTTCTAATAGTTAATTATTACACTATGTTCTGGATCCCCACGACCGTAAATGTTTTCTTCATCTTGGTGCACCCAATGCCAGGCATAGTTTTTCAATGAATTCATGAATGGAGAGAGGCTTAAGGACTGGTTTAGACAAAGGCTAGAAAGATATGTACTCAAGAGTCAATTGCCCAGTGGAACTCCAAAGACTTGTGACCCAAGCCTGGTAAACTCAAATTACTATAATTACCCTAAGTAATGGGGCAGAATACAACATTCTACCACAGTAGGAAACAGCCTCTCCAACATTAACCACAGGAGTCTCATGAAAAGGTGATCCAAACTGGGATGCATGCGCCCAGAAAGGTTTCCCCCTCCAAGTTTTTACATTTCAAAAAGAAGAAAAATACGTATGCCTTTTTCCTTTTGCATTGTCTACACTTGAGGCTACTCAAAAGCAGTAGTAAAGTAATACACAGATCGTGCCAGTGCAATTTAAAAGATTACACACATCATAAGAGTTTCTTTATACCTTTACAATTATTTATTCAAGCATATTTAAATACTGTTTGAGACTAATTAAGACCAAGATTCTTTGATATTAAAACATTTCAAATTAAGTTATCCTGAAAAATTCCTCTGCTTTTTTGTATTAATAAAAAAGATTAGCAGAAACTAGTTTACAGCTACTTATGTTAATGTATCTATACCTACTATACATAGCTACAATAGCAATTTATAGATACAGTTTTAAGATTATAAAATCTAAGTTAAATGTTTAAATACTAAAAGTAGGACTTTTAAAAATCTGAACCTTTAAATGATAGATGTGTATAAAATAAAGTTTAGGTTTTGCTTAGTGTTTGAATCAACAGGCCTTTATATCTATAATTACTCACACTTTTTAATTGAACAAAAATATTACGCTATAGTTAAAACTCTCTAAAAACATAAAAGTGAACTGCATGATTTTTCTGGCCCTATTATTTTTAGAACATTCATGATTTATTGATTCTGTCATCTGTTTTCTGATACATTCTTATGTTCACAAGTAGGGATGCCTTGACTTGTCAATCACTTCAAAAGAGTTGGTTAAAACCTAGAACACCGAAAACAGTTTAAAGGATGTCCTTCCAGTCTCATTCTGCTTCTGGACCATCCATCCAGTCCAGCTATGCAGTAGGCCTCCTGATGTTCCCATTTCATTCTTCTCATGTTTAGTGATAATCAACCCAAATAATTTTCAATATTGTCATGGTCCAATATGAACTTTATTCATAAAAATTCCAAATAACTTAATCTTACAGCTAAAGTCAAATTATTTATCATCCAAAGATTTGGCATGTCATAAAGGATATGGCATAGTCTTCAGATTTAAAATAATTGCTATACTGCTA